TTTAATTAAATATTTTTTATTTAATTTGTAATTAAAAATATAAAAATATATTTATTAAAAGTAAAAATTTATTTTATATTAATAAAATGGTATAAAGTTTATATATGTCATGAAAAATTCAAATATCTAACTCTTTTTATGTGCAGAAAATTAACCGAAACGTGTTTTCCGAAACTCTCGCCGAGCAAAGTACGAATCTATGAACTATACTGTGTACACTTAGGACTGACTACATCAACTTGCGTTCTGGAACATTCTCGCAGACTGGCAGCCACCATCTGGGAAGTTACCGGGGTGCCAAACAATCTTGCGGATATATTCTAAAATTGCATTCTCTAAATAAATAGTTTAGTTGGCTCTGTATAATTTTAACTTGATTTTCTCAATATCAATATTTTTCGAATTTCAATGTTAAACTTCCATACGTCTTCAATTTTAAATTCTCCAAAAGTATCTTAAGATATTTCAATTTCTCTGTGATATTTAGATTCCTAAACACTTATACATTTGCACAATTTTGGATCTTCGCTTTTGATATTAATTTCATTCTTTTTTTCTTTTTGGTCGTTGTAGATTGTAGATTATAAAACTGTTTTTCTAAAACTTCACCAAGTATATGATAAAAATGCACAATTGCAAAATTGCGACATTTCAAATTTAATATTTTCATATTAATCAATATGAAATAGCCAATTTCAATAACGAGATTAACAATGGAAAGCTTTCCTTATTTATTAAAAATTTTGCTTATTTATATCGTGCATAAATGCTACATATATGCTACATTTCTATTTGTAGATGAAGAACTAATTAGGAAATGATTTAATTTATGTAATTAATCATAAGTGTTATCAATTGTTTTATTTATACAGCACAAAATGAACAATCATTTTGCGCCCTTTATTTACAAAATATATTTATTGTAATAATCAGTGCATATTAATTAAAAGCTTACATATTTTATAAAACATATTTAACTTCATATAGATATTTAATGGCACAATAAACGATATAAACCAAATGACGAATATGAAATAAGAAACAAAATGGATTATTAATTTTTTGTCGAACCTTTAATTATTTTCGAATTTTTTCGCAAAATTTAAGGCACCTATAAATAGAATAATCGATACAAAAATCCTCAAGTAAACATATTCTTCTCTCAAGAAATCAAACACAATTTTCTTTAAATTTTTTTAATTCTTTTAAATTCTTTAACTTTTTATCTTCTAAGATATTTTTAGATTTTTTTTAATTTCCTTCGATTCTGCACTTTTTATAATACTAGAATATCTTTGTTCTTTATATTTTTTTCAGATTCTTTCAAATCTTCGAATTTTTGAACATTTGAAATTTCAGAAAAAAAATTTGAGAGAACCTGAAAGCATAATTTTTCCAGGCTTTGGTTTCTCCACTTAAATGTCCAATGACTTCCTTGTGTTGCATTTGTCCAGATCTGTCTTTTTTACCTGGCAAGACCTGGGATAAAATTAAGTACTATTGAAAAAAACAAATTTATGCAGCTAAATTTATGTGCTATACAGATATAAATATTACATCAATAAAATTTTGTTCGTAATTTATTTTGTTTATTGAAAACTTGAAGAAAAAGTCATTTCTTTCATTGGAAAAAAAAACAATTATCTCATAGAAATTTTCTTCTAAAAAAACTATAATATATTCCTTTTATTTAATTAATATATAAATAAATAAAAGTATTTTTTTCTGAAATTTTTTCTTTGTTTTTCAATTAGATCTCATTTTTCAAGAAGATACATTTTTAACGATCTTCTTATTTCTTTTCCTTTCCTACTTGTTTTCTTTGCCCCTAGCCCCTCACCTGAGAACGGGGGAGCTAAGGGATACAGCAGCAGAACATTCGGCATCAGAGAAATCTTGTTCCGGAGTAATGCTTCTTTCTCGAGAATGCATCTGGGATGTGTTTGGATTACGACGTACTTTCTTCATTCCTGGCATGAAATCAGGAGGATTACCTCGAGCTCGACCTCTACCTCTACTCATGCTTGTCTCATTATCTTGGCAGATTGACTCAGTGACAATTTCCGGAACGGGACGTCTACTGTTAGTACAGGGGGAGTTTTGCGTAACATCTTGTTGTTGATTGCTATCTTCCTGTAGATTGCTACGTCCCGAGCGACGTATTTTTTCCTGATTTATAACGCTTTTAGCGATACAAGCGGCGGTATTGCGGGACTGTATCCAATTATTAGAAGTAACTGGCTGAGCCTAGGATAACATTTTGCATTGAAATTAACATTTATTTGTTTTAGAGTTTGCAATTTTTGAAAATTCTAAAAATTTAGTGTAATATCTAACAATATTTATATCTGAAATATTTAAAAAATAGAGAAAATTGCACCTGCATTAAATTTTTACTAAAAAATATCGATTTAAAAATTTATAAAAAAATCTATAAATTGAGAAATATGCGATTGACTTAGAGGAGGTTCTCGCGTTTGATGTATAAGACAAATCTATAATATATATGTAACAAACGTTAATAATATCAATAATATCTAAAAAAAATTTCATGAACTTTTGCCATACCATTTTGAAGATATTTAATTCTAAATTTATAGAATTTTACATTACAAGTTGAAGGTGTAACCTTATTCTGCAATTATTTTTTTTTAGTTATTCTCTTTTAAATTAAGACACTTGCATAAGACAGTGATTTAAAAATCGTTATAGTTATAAAGTAAACACTTAAGATTGTTCCCATAAAGTTTCATTTAAATTGATCACATACAGTTTACAAGAAATTTAAATTCTTCAATGAAAAAAGCTAGATATATGCCAAATAGATGATGCGTATACATCAAATGAGCATCTTAAACTTTTGTCATTTTGAAAATATTTAGTAACATAAAAAATTAACAATAATTATGTATAGTACAATTGTAATCTTTTTTTTCATTATTTTAATTGTTTTACGTATTATGAATAAATTGTCTATTTACTAGGAAGTAGCGCGAGAACTTCCTTAAGAATATTCTATGCTTAATTCAAATTTTTAAGATGATACATACACAAGATGGGATTTGTTCCTTTTGGAGACGCATGTCATCGCTGATTTTCATCTCGTCTTTTGTCGAAGAATCGATTTTCTCTGAAAAACAATTCTCCCTATTTGCTTTAGAAGTTCTCTCGTAACTCTCACCATTCATTTTCATTTTCCTGATCAATCGCTGCGCTGCGATCTTATCTTTCAGTTCGCGCACTTGCCTCTCCAATTCAGCTACTTCTAGATCGGACTCGCATACTTTAGGAATCAGTGACATTAAATGCCGTTCGGCAGCTTTCTGGATCATCATAGCGGAATCTAATCCACTTTTCTTTGTCATATCCAACCTAAAGAATACTTATCTAATTAATAACATAATTATTTTACAATGTTGAAATATTAGATAATCTAAAAGTCAATTTTGCAAAATACTTTTATAAAATAAATATCCTCTGACAATCAAATATTGTATTAGATTTCATACATTAATAAACAAAAATTATAAAAATGTTTTTCAATTTTGAGAAATACAAAATGCATAATTTAACACATTATTTAATAGTTGCTGCACTGATAAATATTTACTCACTTTAAAGATTCTATCAGTTCGGTGAACCCATCAGGTAAGCGTGCAGATTTCTTAACAGGTGTTGGCTTATAATCTGAGCCATCGTGTCTAGATGCATCATCACCTAAATTATTTATTCTCAAAGGAATCGGCTCAAACATCCTAAAAGTATAAATTGCACATGTCACATAAAAAAAACTTTAATCGCATTTATTTTTTTCGAAATATATAAAAATATTTATACTCATTTTATTGTCTATTATTTATATTATATAATTTATATCTTAAATAAGTATTTGTATAAAAATTGCTGTAGACAATTTTACTACAATTTTAATACTCAAAAGGAAGATTCAGATTAAAGATTGGCCATGTTTAAGTTGGATGGAGCGGCTAACAGTCTACTTGCCAAGCGGTTGATTGATTAGATTTATAAGTAAGAGAACCAATCACGTTCAATCGCTTAGCAGGGTAGCTGCTTTACCAATTTAAACAAGATCCTTTTAGATTTGAATTCTTCAAATTTGTAATATGTGATGCTAACCCTCGTTTATGCCTTAAGAACACATGTCGGAACTTGTGGGTGCCACGTGTTTCGGAGATAGACGCGTTGAGGAGGCAAGTAAGGAAGAAATCTTCCCTACAACTATTTATACTGGAGAAATGCGAGGCAAACTGCTTATGCAATATCTTGTCCCTCATTGTTGGAATCAAGCTACTAGTGTTTCTGCGGAAATGGAACCAACCAATCACCTGCTTGCTCTTATCACGCACAAAATCCTTCAATTTCTCTTTGTTGATCCGACCACTAGAGTCGTACAAAAGATCACTCAGAGGACATGTCACAATGGTTTCCACATCTAAAAGTATTTATTTTTAATAGTAGGATAAAGTATAGCAATAATAATAAAAATAAGAATAATAATAATAGCACAGGGAAATAAGTCACAAGGAAGTTGATAAAGTTTTATCTTATTCCGCTTGTTAGTTTATATTTTTAGATTAGTCTTCTTAACAATGTAGACAGTAAAAAAGATATTTAAACATTTGATTTCAATTAAGTTTTATCAATTATCTTATTCTGGTTGTTAAATTATATTATTAATTTATATTTTTAGATTGGTCTTCCCAATGTAGATAGTAGAAAAGATATCTAAATTTTGTTTCAATTAAGTTATGAATGACATAGATGAATTCAATATCTAAACATATTTTATTTTTTCTGAAAAAACATAAAACCATTATTATCAAGAGTATGATTATAAGTTAAAATAATAGCATTCACATAAATGTTATTATTTTAACTTATAATTATTTGTTCTATTCATATATATAATTTTTATTAAATAATTATACTTCTCTTGTGCAGAAATATATGCTAGTCTTCTATTTTAATTATCCTATAAAT